GCTGCTTAGTTACCTCCACCCTGACAGGTGAGGGGACAGAGGCGGTGGCCTTCCTCATTCTCTTCTACAGTGGTTCTTAGTGTCCCGAGGGGATTGGTTCCCGTCCTGCCACGCACATGGATGCTTAAGTCCCCTTCATAAAATGGTGTGGGATTTGCATTCAGCCTACAGGCAGCCTCTTGTGTATTAAATCATCTCTGTCACAAATGCCTAAGCAACATAAATGCTATGGGGGTGACTGCTATCTCGTATTATTTAAGGAAAGTAGTAAGATACAGAGATTTGGCACAGTCACACTGTTTTCCTTAAATATTTTCAGCCCAAAGTTGGTCAAATCTGCAGTTGACAGACCTATAGACGGGGAAAGCTGAATGCAGTTCAGCAGGGATTGAAGGTCATTTTGTATCCATTTAATTTTCACGTATGAAACCAGTACATCCAACTGAACTCGTGGCGAATTGAATGGCCTCAAGTAAAAATTATTGCTAGTCTCTAGATGAGATGTTATGCATGTGAATAAAGGACCAGAAAGCAAAATAGTATTCTAAGTTAGACAACAATGGGATACTATAGGAAAAAATAAAAAAAAAAAGTCCCCAGTCATGTGTATTTTCTTTCTCTCTGAAATTCAGAATTATCAAGCTAAATTGCCAGTGGCTGATTACAAAGAAGCGCTATTTAGAAGATGGATGTGAAAATATGACCCATAAGAAAGGTGAACAATGATGCAGGGTGTTTCTGGTCGACAAAGTGACTTTGAAGTTAAAGATTCAGGATTCTAGAAGGCACATCGCAGTGTAAACATTTTGAATAGCAACTTACGGATGTGTAATATAAATAGGGCTCTGAGATATTTTCTTCAGTACAAGCGGTGGCTTAGGCACAGGAATCTTCCAGAGCAACTTGTTGGCATGCAATAGCCTTGTAAATATTTTATATATGTCCTCTAAGACTGCCTAGCCTGAGGATGAAGGTTTTGCATTGTACCCTGAAAGCTACTTCCTGAATAAATAAAGTTCTGCAGTAATTAAGAAAGTTAAAGAACACTCCCATCTATACATTCTTGAAACTTAATTTCAGAACCAACAGTAGCAGTAATATGTATCTCCTTGAATTGTGGTGGGTCATGACAATTTCCTGAGTAACCTAAGTCGGAACTATTTAACACTTCGTTAATTTCATTGGGATACTCTGACTTCTTGAAATACTGTTTTAAATTATGTGTGGAAGTGGATCAGTAATGACATATTTCTGTAACTGAAGGGAAATTTAAAACTGAAGGGAAATTTAAAACACTCGCTTCGTAATACTGAAATGTTTTGAAATAAAAGATCTGGCCATGGTATCATCTAATTATTTTGTTACTAGGAGTACTAGCTTGGAATTCTTTACTTGGGCTTCACATAAACATTTCAGCTGTACATAAGAAGAGATATAAATGGTTTCTCACTTGACTGTTCTTTTAAAAAAATGTTCCATAAAATATTACTGTAGTATAAGCTGAATTTTCAAAAAGTAGGAGAAGAGAAAAATTACCATCCAGCAATACATAATATAACATAATTATCCTTTATATAAAAGCTCTCAGTTTTGTACCATTATTTGATAACAGAACATGGACAGAACTGCTTAGAATTTTTCCATCTTCCTTCAAGTGGTTATTTTCCACTCAATCTGATAGTAATCAGGGTAGGCCTTTTCTACCCTGACAGGAAAATTTTGTTTAAAAATTTTTATATATTGGCTGGGGAGGTAGCTCGGTGGGCTAACAGCCTTCCTGGTAAGCACAGGAACCCGGGATCAATCCCTGGTATCGCATGCTATGCCAGCACCAGAACCCCAGGTGTGCTGTGCTGGCCACTGAAACTGGGCATGGTGGCACATGCCTGTAATCCCAGTGCTAGGGAGGTTGAGACAGGGGGATCACTACAAGTTTGAGCTGTGTAGTAAGACCCTGTACCAAATAAATAAATAAATAAATAAATAAATAAACAAACAAATAACTATTTTTCTGCATGTTAACCTACAATTTCTAGTTATATTATTGACTAGTATTGCCACATATAAAAACATTGACTGATACTTTGCCCAGTCATAGAAATATGACACTAGCTTTTCCAAATTCCTCATCTGAAAAATGTAAGTCATATAATACAGGCTAACAGTAATAAGCAAAACAGATACTAAACAAACATATGAATAGTTTTGTATCATACCTAAATTGGAATTTTTATGAAAAATATACTTCAATCTCAAGATTGGTCAGATCTATGAAACTATAGTGACTAATGAACCAAAATTCCACTTAACTAAAATTCCACAAGTGTAATGTCTTAGTATAGAGCATATGTTGATGAGAGTGTAAACATTTCACTCCCACTTTAGGTTATGTATCCCCTGGGTCTATTTACTTTAGTACACTTTTGCAGTACATGACCGTATTCATTGTGGGGAGATGTTTGCCTCTGGTAGTGTGGCTCTGCGGCCCTCAGAAATGAGACTTTATTGCCATTATCACTGTAGGAATATCTGTCCTGAAGGGAGGACTAGCTGTAGGGACCACAATTAAAATGAACTTTATATCTCAGCGTACAATGTAGAGCTTAGATAACAGAAAAGGTGCCTTCTTCAGGGTGCAAATAAAGTGTATTTAGCAGTCAGGGTAACCCCAACATCTGTCACAAGTGTCTTACCTTCAGGCTAGTTTCTACCATTTGACCTTATTTGAAGGAGACAGACAAAGCTGTCTGTAGTCTTCATGCGAATCTCAGGAAGACAAATACACACTGTCTCCGGGTCTTGGACAGCCCTGTACTGCAGCACGGTGCCACACATCTGCTTTATAGAAGGGCCTGTCCATCCTCAGAATGAGCCTTCTTGCCTGGCCTTCGTGATTATGTTGCTCAAGTGCAAACTTCTTTCAGAAAAAAGTATCTTATCTAGTTTATGTCTTCAAATTTTTATTGTAAATATTCAAACTTACACAAGAATCAATGAATAATGCAACTAAATCCGTACATTTGTCCCCTGGACTCAGTCATCCGTATTTTGCATATCAACTTTATCTATTCATTGTTACATCACTAAACCATTGCTGAGCATTTTAACATTTCAGTATGAATCTCCCAAGAAGGGCCAGTAGAACCAGTGACAACCCACCTAAGAAAAGAACAACTCAATGTCTATATTCGGATTTATCTAATTGTCTTTTAAATGCCTATTCTAGCAGTGATTTGTGTTTTCATTTTAAATAGGAGCCTATTAAACGAAACTAAATCTTCAGTGGCGGCAACGCTGTGTGTGTGCCGTCAGGCTCAGACACAATGATCCAACCTAACAGTGGCTTCAACGTGATTACTTCTCTCTCATTTAACAGCCTGGACATGGGCCAATGCAAAGCTCTTCTGTCCTCAGGCGACAGTGCCATTTGGCGCTGAAAGGTGGCAGCTCCAGGCCTACCAATGAGCCACAAAGATAGCTCAGGAGAGCTTCTCCCCCCGGGGCCTGAAGCAAATGCCACATACACAATTCATGCTCACAGTCAAGTCCAGAATGTTGGCACATGTTCTGCTAGAAGAGGTAGAGGCATAGGAAGAAGTCTTTATTCTTAGTGGCCATGGATCTAAGTTTCTCTGGACCTCAAGACTTGTATTTAAAGGAACAATGATTTGGGGGCACCGATGAGGTATTTCTGCCATGAGGTATTTTGGAAATGGCTGAGCTATATAACAAATCAGATTAAAATTAATTTTCAACATATTGTGACGGTAGGCTTAGGCCTACTTGTGGTAAGATTATTTTCCTCCTACACTGAAAGACTAGTTATATGGTATTCATTCTGAGTTCATCAAGGTATTATTTTTAGAGTTTCTTTCTCCTTCCTCGTCAGAATATAAACAATTAGTGCTCACTACTGTAACCGTGTCTTCTTTCCTATTTTTATTTTCCTGTCATCACAGTTTAAAAATAATTTTTATTTAATTATAAGATAATTTTTTATTTACATAGGAAAACTCACAAATCAGGAGTGACAGCATATATAAATAGCAGCATATTTATAACACTCTTCAGATCAGTAAACACAACATTATCAGTATTCTGAAAGCCTTTTTTTGTGTCCTCCAAGTACCCCAGTATATTTCTTTTCTTTTCTTTCTTTCTTTTTCTTTTCTTTTCTTTTTTCTTTTAGGATCTGGGGATTGAACTCAGACCCTTGCACTTGCCAGACAAGCACCTATTCTGCTGAGCCATCTCCCCGGCTCCCCCGGTATATTTCTTCCTCCCAGAAATACTAACTATTCTAACCTTTGATGCTATGGTTGAGTTTTGTATGTTCCTGAATTTTGCATTCATGGAATTCTTTTTTGTCTGGGATCTTTTGCTCCATGTTATGCTTATGAGATTCTGGTTGTAGCGTTAGTTTGTTTGTTTTTATTGATTAGATATTGCATGAATATGTGATAAATTTATCTACTATCTGTCGAACAACTGAACTGAGTCTAGTTTTTGGTTATTAAAATACAGTTATTATGACCGTTAGTATGTCTTTTGATGTGTGTATCCTATATTGTTAGATATATATAGTTCATAGGAATGAAATTACTGAGTTATGGGAGAATGGAGTATAAGGATATCCATTTGCTTTTACTTTTGTACTTATATTTATATTAGAGTGCTGTAGGAGAAGCCATCATAAGGAGAATTGTCACCTTGCTCTGGACCTTAAGGGAGACATTTCTACTTCCTTCCATAATACATATGATAGTTTGCGTTAGGAATTGTTTTTTCTGTATTTTAGGGAAGGGTCTACAGGGTGTTCAGGGTCTCATTACTAGATCAGACTCGAGCTGATTCTCCTGTTTACAGCCTCCCAAGAACTGGGATTACAGGCATGCGCCACCACGCCCAATCTCAATTGCTGTCTCAGCACACCCTGGGGGAAGGGCCAGCATAGCAGGCCCCAGGATTGAACTCCCAGGTCCTTGCACCTGCTTGCAGGTGCTTTAATCCGCTGAGCTATTTGGCCAGCCCAGGAATTTTGTTGATTCTATTTGTCAGGTTTAGGAAAGTCTTTATCCTAGTTTTAAAAGTTTTCTCCCTCATGGGCAGGGACTGAAGTTTATAAAGTACTTACTGTATTTAGTGATATCATTGTATAATTTTCTTATTTTGGAATAATCATTGAGTAATACAAAACTTCCACCTACATTTCTAGAGGGAAAAACATTAAAGGAGAAATAGAGAAAACACACTAAGATTATATAATGAAATACCATGTGGTAGCACAAGTGACTGAATTAGGGTGACATGTAACTGTACTTACATTACCCAAACTGTACTATTTCATAAAAAAGAGAAGGCACATTGAACATGAGGCCATTCAAGAAAATTAAAAACATCACTTCTATGACACACATTTTATGGATTCCTACATATATGATTAAAGTGTAAAAATGAACAACGGGATGACTTATTCCAATACCAAGCTCAAACCAGAAAGATAACCAGAAGAAACCTCAAATGTATAGACTTCGAAATGTGAAAAAAGGTTGCTATGTGCTAACTCTGAATGCTAGTATATGGGTGCTTTCTATGTTGTCCTGCATGTTTTCTGCAGTTAAAATATTTTACAAATATATCATGCTGGTATATACATACGGTACTGGTTCCTTGAAGGTTATTTTATTTGCTGGCCTCAAGCCTCCTCTCTACTCTATTTAAGAGAGGAAATTAGAAATAAGGTAACTATTCTTTCCACCTATGGTTCTTCATTCTGATTCTTTACTATCACTGGGTGAAAGAACAGATTGAAGAACCTACATGTAATTGGCAAAGTTTTGTTTTCTCTTCGCCAGTTATTGGGTGTGTGCTCATAATACCAAATCATATCATTTTAAAAATACCAGATATTAAAAAAACTGTGTCATCTTTGCTTTGAAGAGTCTTAGTTTGTATCTTTCAAAGAAATGATCTGGTGACACAAGGATCGCCCTAGCTAATCATCAATTAGTCACTCATGACATCTCTCTTAGTGCTCATCTTTTGCCACAGAAATCAAAGAAAAGCTGTTACAATTCTGTCCCCAGCGCGGGGGTGGGGGGAGGGAATCATACAGACACATAATTTTGCACCAAATTTAACAGGGTCCTGGGCCTCTGGAAATCTGTTCACAGGTCCTGAATTAACACCCTTGACTCTAATAGTTTAATTTGTATAATTTAAAAGACTTCTGATTGACAAAGAATAAGAATTTGGGACCCACTGGGGAAGGTGTTTGGAAAAGATGGGTATTTTTTTAACAAGCATATCTTGTACGACCTGCTTTTCTCGTTTGATGAAAAACCAGATACACTCTTCACAGCTCTTCAAGAATCACGGTGCTCTCAAGGGTCATGCTGTTTGAGTCACTGATTCCTTCCACAGACATTCATCAAGAACTGTGGGAGACACTGAGAAAGAGCAAACGTAAGCGCACGCTTCACAATACTTGCTTTCAGAACTTTGCTTGAGAAGCGGAATGAATCCTTTCTCATTTTCCAAGAGCACATGCACATGCTTTCTTCCACGGGAGCCGGCGCCCTCTCCACTTACCTGAGGCTGGGTCAGCCTGGGGTGCCTGATGCCTGCGCAGTGGAGCAGACCTGCTCGCAGTGGGAGTACGTCTACCATGTGGGCTGATCAGGGAGCAGTACGGATGCACAGGGACGGACGGGCTGTTGCACCAAGGACTGCGGTTGGGGAAAAGGGTTGGTGGCATTTCCTTTTCTCTGTAAAAGAAAATTACAGATCGAATACCAAATGCATTCCATGTGGTGGTATGAGTGGGAAGGTGAGATTAAAATGAAAACCAGTGTTAGAACTCAGAGCGCGTGGCTCTTCTGGATCTTGTGACCAGAACATTGAGCCTACCACTGGAAGTATTTGCCTAAAAATGAATTCGGTGCCTCTGTCCACAACCAGGTCTTTTATTATAATTAAGCTTATTGGTACAGCTTATATATGCATAATGTCAAATTCATTGAAGGAACTTTGTATCCCTGGGTGATATATCTTAGATCCTCTTTTCCGCTCCTTCTCCTCCCGTCTCTTCACCCACCCATACAGCCAGGTCTTGATCCACGATAAAATTCCTAGAGGATGCTTTTCTGTTTCTTCCCTATGCACTGCCTAAAGACCTGGGAACACCCTCAGCTCTAAGCAGCCTGCCCCAAATCACGGTGCCAGGGAAATGCAAAGTGTCCAGAGGACTTCAGTCATACCAATCACATTTTATTTTTAACTTTATTTTTTTGTACCAGAAATCAAACTCACAAGCTTGTGCTTGCCAGACAGGAGCTGTGGCACTACACCACTGAGCTCCTTAATATTATCCCCAGAGACTTAATATCACCTATCAAGGACCATCAGCTTCTATTGCTCAAAAGTATGTAACTGCCTGTTCACTTTGTGTTTTTATGTTTTCCATCTGGGTCTTATTAGAAAAAACATTATTGTAATGTTTACAGCAGAACAACTTGTAATAGCTAAATCTTGGAAACAACCCAAATGCCCACTGACTGAGGTGTGGATAAAAAAGATGTGGTCTTATTTTATACAATAGTGTACTACTCAACCAGAAAAAGAGGATAAACTGGAAACATTTATAGGTAAATGGATGCAACTTGAGATCATATTCATAAATGAAATAAATCTGATTCGTGTGTGTAAACATCATGTTGTCTCCCTGATGTGAAACTGAAAGAGTAAATAAGGTTTAAAATGTACAGCAGGTATTGTGAAGTAGGAAGAAATTGTTCAAGAGGAAAAAGGAACTAGGATGGCTGAGAGGGGACGGGACAGTAGGGAAAGGAAAAAAATGCAAGTCAGTTGTGCTTTTAGTGTTTCTTGATTCATGAAAAAAGGTTTACACTAGTGTTGACCGGAGAAATTTTTAATGCTTATACCTTGTATTCTGAATCTAAAGATAACATGGAATGTATTAACTATTGTTATTCTCCTATTATTTTGTTATGATTTTTTTTACTTTTTCTATAAAAACTATAGTAGGTTTATTTATTTATCACATATCTGTCACGCAGTCATTCCCACCTGGCTCAGTTATTAATTGGAGAAAGGACTTAAAAAAGAAAATGAACCCAGAAAAAACAGAACAAAACACCTTTTACCTCTTAAGAAATGGCACTTGCTTGAGGTCACATTTGGAGGTATCTTCCCAGGCTTGATCTTGCTTGTCTTTATTTATGTCACTAGCAGATGTTGTCCCCAAAAACATCTGCCTTTGGGATGTAGATGTTGCTACGGAACATCTGTTAAATTCAATGTCAGTCTCTAATTTTTCCCACACTTGCTTCCAATGGATGGGAGTGTACCAGGCGACAGCCTAATGAAAACGAGTCATTAATATCAAATATTGTTGGAGTTTTATGATTTGAATGTTGTACACTCATTACTATAGAATTTATATTTTTTTAATTTATATTTTTAAAATAAAACTAATCTTGCATATTTATGTTACAGAATATTATGAGATACATAAAAAGAATAAGATGGTTATCATCATTAAATAAATTAAAATATCTGAGTCATCTCACATGGTTGCTTTTGCTGTGATGGATGCTAAAATTTACTTATTTAGCAACAATAAAAAAAAATCCAAAACAATACAATTTTTTTTCCTGTATTCAGGACAAGATCTAAGGGTCTACAGGGTCTTACTATATAGATCAGACTCATAGTGATCCTCCTGCTTTTTTCAGCCTCCCAAGTGCTGGGATTACAGGTGCGTATTACCATGCCCAGTCTCAATCATACCCCATGGGAGGGGCAGCCAAGGCACGCAGGGGATCGAACCCCAGCCACTGTGTTCTGCCTAAGCAGGCACTTTAGTCTGCTGAGCTATCAGGTCTGCCCTAAAAACAATACAATTTGATTAACAATAGTTCGTGTTAACTTATGTTGATGTCAATGTGAAAATTAAATAACTTTAAATAATTAATATTCATTAACTAGTATCAACTCGCTGGAATTGCTCATCCAATATATCTGTAGGCTTTCACTTACTTCCTTTCTCCATTCTTGCCCCCAGTTAACTACATTTTGATTGTCTATCTCTATACAGTTTTCCTTTAAAAAAAAATCCATACACAAATAAAATCATGCAGTATTTCCCTTACTGTGTCTTGACTTTTTTCACTTAGCAAAGTGTCTTCCAGATTCATCCACATGGCAAAATTCCTCTGTCTTTTCAAAGGCTGACTAGGTTTCCCCTGTCACATATGTATCCCATGTCTTTATCCCTGTGTTGATGTACACTTTGATTGCTTCCACGCCATGGCTATCATGAATGATGTTGCAATGAACGTGGGAGAATAGATACCCTAACCAAGTGATGACCTCATGTTTCTCAGGTCTCTGCCCAGAAGAGGGATTGCTGGGTCAAATGGTGTCCTGATTTCCTTTCTCTGGGCACCTCTATGTTGCTTTCCACAATGACTAATCTACATTCCCAGCAGCAGCATAATAAGGTTCCCTTTTCCCATACCCTTACCAATGTATGTCTATTATTTTTTTTTTCACAATTGTCCAAAACTTCTTGTAAAGAAAAAAATCATTAAAGCATATACATAAAAATATTATCTATGGAAGAACAAAATTAAATAGCATCTTATTCCACATTAGAAAGAAAAAAAAGACCAAGGGTGTAAGAAACTAGATTAAAGGACTGAAAGAAAAGATCTGTTCTCTTTGAATTTTATGCTTAGCAAACATACCTTTGAA